CTTGAGCCACAAGCACAGAGGCATTGTTTTGTATTTTTGAGATAGAGTCTCACTCTCTTGCCCAGGCTAGAGTGCTGTAGTGTCATAGTTCATGGCGACCTCAAACTGCTGGGCTCAAGTGACCCTCTTGTCTCAGCCTCCCAGGTAGCTGGGACTACAGGCACCCGCCATAACGCCTGGCTACTTTTTGTTGTTGTTGTTGTTGTTGCAGTTTGGCCACCCTCTGTATATGGGGCCGGTGCCCTACCCACTGAACAACAAGCGCCGCCTTTGCTTCAGTTTTTCTATTTTTAGTAGAGATGATGTCTCACTTTTGCTCAGGCTGGTCTTGAACTCTTGAGCTCAAGTAATCCACCTGTCTCGGCCTCCCAGAATGCTAGAATTACAGGCATGAGCCACTGCACCTGGCCTTCATATCATCCTGTTTTAACACTGTGTGCCTCTTGCACAAAGCTGACCCAGCCACTCCTCTGCTCACAAATCCTCCATGGCTCTTCAGCCTCACTGCACACAGGGCCTAGCATATGGGGATCCTGGGAGAGAAACTAGGCATGACTGAATGAAACCATGTCCCGGATGAAACCATGTCCCATGCCCCTGGGAAAATGTCCCAGGTCTTCAGCCTGGCCTTAAAGACCCCACAAGCCCTGTGAATGCTAATCCCCACACCAGGCCCTTGGGTCTCTGACCTTTGCCAAATTGTTCCCACTAATGGGGCTCCCTTCCCCCCTTCTCTGTGGGGCAAATTCCTACTCAAACTTCTATACACTTCAGGAGTCCTCTCCTCTAGGAAGCCATCAGCAATGACATGAGGTGGACAGGGGCCTCCTCTAAGCTCTGGAAGCCACCTGTGCTGCCTTCATTAGAATGCACAGACTGGGCCCAGTGCCCAGAGAGGGAGGGAATGGCCAGGCCGGAGGTGGGTCCCAGATGTGGATTTCACGCCTATTGGTCTCGGGCGCTGGGAACAAAGTTAGGGTCATAAGGAACATATGGGGCTCACTTGGCACCACACTTTCATCTCCCACCTCCCCAGCCCCAGAGTGGGAGGCAGCAGGGCCAGACTTTTCAGGCCTTGGTGGTTCCCACAGTCCCTCTAGGCCTCCTCAGCTCTCTCCCACTGCTCTCAACTCCCACTACCTCCTGGAGCCAATCAAAATCCCCCTGGTTTCTGGGTTCTCTTTTCTGGGGGAAAGAACATGTACTGGACACATACACAAGCAAGAGATAAACTTTTGTTTTACAAGCCAACAGAACCAGCCTAACCTGCTTAATTAGTGTAAGGCCTGGAGGAAATATGGAAACTAGCTTGCTCTTACGTGAGGAAGTATGTTTCAGGAAGAGAAATTGGCAAGTGCAAAGACCCTGGGGCAGAGTGTTCTCAGTTTTTAAAGGAAGATGTGGTTAGGGTAGCTGCAGTGTCATATGTGAGAAAGAGCTATAGGAGATGTAGTCAGTGACTCGGTGGGGGTAGATTATGAAGGGCCTTTTAGGAATGTATTCTGAGAGAGATGAAAGCCATTCCAGAGTTGTTTTTTTTTTGAGACAGAGCCTCAAGCTGTCCCCCTGGGCAGAGTGCCGTGGCATTACAGTTCACAGCAACCTCTAGCTCCTGGGCTC